TTTGGTCTTCACAGGGGGTTGAATTGGCATCTCTGGAGATTAAATTTGAATCTCTGCAGGTTAAACTTAGTATCTTATTCCCTAGCTACCTACTATAGCAAACTGATATCCTCTGGAGACCAGACACAGCATGGGGTTACAATCACATTACCCAACCAAAGATCCATACAGTTATTTTATAGGTGTATTTCTCTAAATATGTCTCAATTCCATGTTGACTGAGCGCATAATGAGTAGGCTGATGGATTGTTAATGACATTTCTGTTAAGGTCTCCACTAGCCAATGTCAAGGAAGAATAATTTTATTTAGAAGAGTGGTAACTCAGATCTTGTTCCAAAAATTACTCAGTAGTACCTAGTACCTATTGAAAATACGTTTGCGATTAATCTGACTGACCACTAGATGTCAGACTTCCATCAATCAACCAAACAGCTGCTGCAGTAGTATGGTATTTGCCTAGGTAAACAACAAAACTCATTAACGGCCCTGTCCTTCGTATGCCACAAAACTTCTGTTTTCAGTGGAGAGTCCCACTTGCAGATCAGCAGCCAGACATCATGTAAAAAATCTAGTTTACTTGTACGAGATAAGCGAAAATATAGCTGGTTTATAAGTAGAAAGAGCTGATTATTGTGTAAGTAACTTAATATAGTAAAATTAGGGGTGTATATTATGCTTGTACCTCTGTCATGCTGGACTGGGTTCTATTTCCAGTTCTGCCACTAACTTGCCACGTGAACCTTGGCAAGTTTCTCTCTCTCTCTATGCCCTACTTTCTTCCACCTGGTGAGATGGGTATGGCAGTATCAGCCGTCCTCAGAGCACTCAGAGATCTGTGGATGAAAATTGTTATGTGAGTGCCAAATATTTAAAAAAACTAAATAGCCTGACCAGGATAAATATCTGAAATAACCTGTTAATTGTATACCATACTCACAAAAACATCTCTTTGTAACTTGTGTGTATGAGTGGGCATCATTAATTTCAGCACAAAAGCCTGTGAACCACACTTTGTAATTACACTGATAGGTTGGCCTTAATTTTGTCAGTTAGGTAAATTGAGTCATGCTAATGAAACTCCCCTTAGACACACACAAAGGGAGAAGGAACTGAATTCTTCAGTTGACTCATAAAGTGATATGTATTTGTAACATGATATGGAGCTCTTTTATGAAATGCTAAAAAATTCCTAGGTCAGTGTATTGCTAAGGCTGCTCTTAGAGGTATTTTATGCCCTTCCAAAACATCATGTTAAATAAAATTCAAACTTCTGAAAACCAGAAAACACAAAGGTGAGATACACAGCCAGTCAGACTTAACTCTGCCCCCCTGAAGATACCAGTAGCCAAAGCCAATTACCTGTAAAATTCTCACTGCATTCAGTGTTGCTGTATGGGATGATAGAGAGATTATCTGGGGTACCTTGGGAAGACTGCAATGATAGTGAGTTAATCTATGACCCTCTGAGGCTGGAGTGGAGAGATGGGCCTTTATGCTTTCTCTGTATGTGTAATCAAGGGAAAACAACACTTTTGGATGTTGAGAAGTCTTTCCACTTGTACACATTCTCCCAATGGAAGGGGGAGGGTCGGGGGGACGGCTCTGAATCTCAGAAAGCTTACTCAAACAATCCCAAATTTTGAGCAGTAAACGTACTCTTGACTACAAGATGCATACATACCAAAGATAATAGAATTCTCAGTATGTGTGTGGATTTTAGAGCACATAGAAAAAAATTACCTTCATACCAAAATGGGTTCTTAACCTTTATTGTAGGAGATCTGGCATTTTACTACAATGCTGCAGGATCAAATCCAGACAGTGGGCCACTAACCCCGATTAAGCTGTTCTGCGTTTTATGTGAAAAGTGTTGGCAACTCCAGAAAGGAAGGGCATCAATATTTTAGTAACTGATACCTTTATTGGCTGTAATGGTAGTCCAGTCGACAACATCAAGAACCAAGTGGGCATGGAAAATATCCTCTCACTTCTAGTAGTGTGCCCTCCACGTGGCACACTAGTAGGGCAATCAGTGGGGTCATACACCACCACTACTGCTGCATCTATTCTGTAGATAAAATATTACTTAATTCCTTAAATAAAAAGTAATGTTTTATCCACAGACTGACAAACAAACTGGTTGGAAACAATGAGGTGAATGTGTCCTCCTCCAAAACCATCTTTATTGAGGTTTACTGCTAAATCCTGCCAGGCAATAGTTCGACAAAGCTCTTTTTGTCTGCACTGAGAATTGACATCTGTATCTGAGGGTAAGGTTGCACCCTTTATATTTACATAGTAAATTATACAGATTATACTAATCCAGAAGTAATTGTGGGTGGCATTTGGGACAGGGAAATACAAAAGAACCTGGAAGGATTAGAAATACGGAAAGAAACATAAAATGAATTTAAGCTCTGCAAAAGGCAAGCTAATGCATCTGGGGAAACAGGATCCGAAACCCAAATACTCAATTAAATGGAAGCATTAATGCTACTAGACACCTGAGGTGAGGAGAGACAAAGTCAGACAAGAATTTCAAATGGATCATAACTTCGTGCTGCAAGTGCAGAAGCATCACCCCACTGAGGAACGAGGAAATAATTCCTCTCGGCATGAATCTTACGTGACTGACTAGAATACAAAGGTTAGTTTCAGTGAGCTTGCTACAGGACAGCCACTGGAAACTGGATGGATTTCAGAAAAGAGCCTCCTAGGCAGGAGGAGGAAAGGTTAGAAGAGAGAAATGTTGCCAAACAGAGGGCACAAAAAGTTTGGAAACAGGGTAACCATCTATAAACTCTCCGAAAGGCATAAAAAAGTAGGGTTGGCAAGCCAGTGAATTGACACAGCAATTGACTGCATATTTTTTGATAGGTCAAAGATTGTAACAATTTTACAAAAAAGCTACTTTTTTGTAGTTTTGTTGACAAATATGATTTTTTATTGTGTTCTGACACATTTCCTAATGGAAAATTTGTGCTTTTTCTGTGTATTATGTGGGTTGTTTTTTTTACAATTTTTGACCGATATTTGACTTGTCAATTGATCAAACTCTTTTTGACTGGTCAAATACCCAAACCTATAAGCAAAGATAGGGAGACATTGTAACTTAAGACAAATAAGCTGCATAAAGCTGATCATTAGAGCTAAAAAAAAAAAACAGTAGCCAAAACCTCTCCTCATTTTTATGGTGCTGTAAATGTCAAGTCTAATATTGGCTAGAAGGATGGCTGAGGGACAAAAGGAATATGGAAAATCCCACAGTATCTAGGTGAAAGGAGGTAGAAAATTGTGCAGATCGCATAAGGAAGGGTGTGGTGGATGCAGGGAAAGGAGTCCATGACATTTACCCATTTCTTCCCATATTATTTCCAGAAAGCAAGGGCAGATGGAGGGATGGAGGGAACTGTACTTGCCCCCCCACCAGCTGTGCAGTACATACTGCTCCTGTCAGACCTCTGCAGGCTGAGTGCTCCCGGGGTGATCCCGGCGGGAGCCTGGCAGCGGTTCCCTGCCAGCATCAGCATGAGCAATGGGGAGTTTGTGCACTGTGGAGCTCCCCTGGGCATGTATGTACAGCACAGCCCCTCTCCTCCTGCATCCTATGCTCAAAGGAATCAGGATTTGGAAGAGACATTCCTTAATTCTTTCTAAAGCTGCTAGGAGCCGGGATCAGGTCTTCCAATGGAAGGGCTCCAGCAAAATCTCTAGGATTAAGAAACCTTCGTCAGGTCTTCCAATGGACGGGCTCTAGCAAATCTCTAGGATTAAGAAACCTTCGTTGTCTGATTTTGTCAAGGCCCAACTCAATGGGTTGGATCCAGGAGGTATAAACTAAGGACCCCACGTAGAAAGGGAGAGTATGATCCATAAAGATAGATCCCAGGAGGAACCAGGGGCAAATGATTTAAGAATGGATTCAGGTCCTACCTTGTTTAAGCATTTGTTGGGGCGTCCAGCAAAAGACTTCAGGAGAGAGAGGGAGGGAGGGGCAGGTTTTGTCTAGGTCCTACAGTGAGCATCGATTGCGCTCAGACATCTAGATTTAGCCAGGCAGCAGCCTGTTTGTAACAGTTAACTTCTCTTGGCTACTGAAAATCTTGCCTGAAAATGGCCAGGAAAATGTGACTTGTTTCTAGCAGAGAAAGGGCAGGGCTGGTTCTCACCCAGGTTCTTCCTGAGTGCAATAAAGGAAAGTTCATCTCCCTGTCTAAATTACAGGGGCTAAGGTTTGTCTCCCCCTTAGTGGGCCAGGTTAGAGGAGGGCAGTTATCTGGAGCTCTCCAAGCATCTGAAACAAATGCAAGGGCTTCAGGGGGCAGTCACCAAAACGTGAGGGAAGCAATCTGAAGTGTTTGGAGATCATGTGTCATACAGCAGAAGTGCAGAGAGATGAGCTCCAAATTGTGTACACGCTCGCAGCAGCCCCTCAGTCAGTCCCCAGCTGACATCCAAACGAGGCACTAATACCAGTCCAGTCTAGCAGCTCCGGCACGGAGGGTTTCCATTCAAACAGGGCGAAGCCCGCTGTGCGGGCGGGCGGAGCGAGGGGACCGCCCCGCTCGCGCTCCGGACACAGCCCCGCGCAGCGGGCCGCGGGCGCAGCGCTGACTGAGGGGGCCCGGGGGCGCCGGCA